ATATAATCCCAATCCAGCAATGTCTGCTCGTCTATTACTGCTCCTCCTCTTTGACATGTTAATTGCACCTGTATGGTGTCCTATAACCAGCCAAAAGCTCTGTTTATGGTTATCAATCAACTAGCGACAAAAAGTTGTAGCAGCTTGGGCTCTTGGTCGGGCGCCAGCATCCTATTGGCTGGACAGCAGTGAGGCGGAACAGGGATGAGTGACAGCTAACGAGGAAGTGGTGGGAGGGAGAGCGGAGGCCGGACCACTGACAAGTCGTCAACCTCTGTCTTTTATTCATCACGCTTGCATGAATGCCTTCAGCTGCTTGAAGCTGACACCAAACACGTTTATTTARGGGAATAAATATTTTTCATGACGCACGTTACTCGAGACGACCATGCGACGTTACACAAAGTAGTTCGGCGCCATTCAAGGATAGGAATTCTCAAATAAGCAAATATAAAGTTCTAGCATTCTTTGAAGGAAGACRTACCGCCTGCTGCCTTTAATGACAGAGATTGAGACTAAAATGGTAAATGATGTAATGTAGCTTACCATATGTGGTGCTAAGCTGCATTGTACAGTGTAGCCACCAGTGCCCTGTGGGGTATCCTGTTAAAAAAAAGACTAAACTGTATGAATTTATGTTAAATTTTGACAATAATAGAATGAGATGCTAGAGCTCAGAGTTAGGCTTGGGAATAATTCTCAGCTACCACCACCACACCAAATTTGAGCTCACATCGGACAATAAATGGAGGTGCATAAGACATTTATGACCAAAGCATTCAATGGTTGACATTGTTTGCAAGAATAGGTCTTCTTCGCAATGTGAAAATGGACAGTGAATGAGCAGCAAGCAGGAATGTGACCAGCAAAGCCTTCTTGATGTCTCCAGAAGGGGCCCCGATGTGCCGCTACCTGCCCTTGCACATCTGTCTGCTCTTTGTCTTCCTCTCAATGGCACCCTCGTCTTAGATCATCTCCTCTTCCTCCACGCTTCAGTTGCGCTTGGCTTGCACGGAGAAAAAAAAAATGCGGACTGGCTCTCGTCCTCTCTTCTCCCTGGCACTTTGATGTCTCAAGTGTGATTGCTCTTGGATTGTGGCCGCTTTCCCTTGAAGGTTTTGACATGAAAAGCAGGCTGGGCTCTCAGGTTTATCCTCCGGTCAGTGATCCAGGACTAAAACAATCAACCTGCTCACTGTGGGATACTATTACCAGGGAGAGTAAGGCACCAGCTATAGGGGTCTTCCCAGCCATGAAATACACTTTTTGTCCAACTTACAAACACATTTTAGGTGTGTTGATTGAATTATACCAACTCGTTCAGCAACTAATAGATTTTTTTTCCTGTGCACACAGTTGACAGTAACATACGTATTTGAGCAGCTAGAGAATACAAAGCCAATGTTTTTTTTTGCAGCGAAACTMACTGAATAATTCCATATTTGCAATGAATTAAAAAGAAATGAGACTAGTGATTGCAGTTGAGATTGACCCAATCTGATAAGTATAATGTGACACGCCATTAACAGCAGAAGCATAAGTGACAACCCTCAAGCCTCACTTATACTTTCATTAAATATTGAATATGTGCTCATTGCTGTTCCAGCCTGAAAATTACACCACGTAGATAAATTCCCATGACAGCAGAGCTGARGATAATCATCCATCTTTGTGTGACATTTGGCAGAACGCTTGTTTTATGAGCTTGAGTGTCATAGCGGTGGATGAGAAAAGAAAAATAATCCGRAGTGTTCATGATCACCATTAGATGAGCTCTTATCACACTTGCTATCACGACCACTAGAAGGTGTGGATTTTTTATAGTTGATAAAGWTTGTAATATTTATGACTTATGACCCATAGAGTTACACGGTCTCATTAAAATAATGATTTTACCAAGACGTTTAWATGACAATGGTCAATGCCATGTCAAGGAAATATACATTTTTTGAGTGCATTGAAGGAAAACCAGTTCAAACTAGTTTATTTGAAGTTAAAGACATTTAATGGACATCATGTTGGTGTCTCGCTAACACCACAGATAATACACCTTCTGTGGCTGCAGATGAAAGACTGAGTAATTGGATGATTGCCATTTTAGRCGTGGATCTCCATTGTTGTCATTAGGAGAGAAGAAATACCAACACAGCCCAGCATTAGCCGCTAACAATGTTGTCCTAATGCCTCCTTCAATTATCCACAAGGAGGTCTTTTGAGCAACTACTGTCAGAACCACCCCCACTGATTTCCACCAATTTTGTCCCTGATTATCCGGATCAATGGGTATTAAAGGCTCCGTGCACAGACAAACACAGCAGTTTGGTGAAAAGTAGGGGGTCCATAGTTTCAGAGAAATCCCTTTAACAATCTGCATGACGGGGACAAACACAGACGGCTAATCAGTCATCTGTCACAACACACCAGGTGTTTATTTAGCTTTGGCTCACACTAGACACTTTAAATCACTTTTCCATTTGCCTTAAAGCTCACAAAATAGTTTATTTCAATCAGTCTGACTCTTTTTGCTCAAGGCTGACAATTGATTACGAAATGGTAAACTTTGTTTTAATCGAGTTAGCTACAAACAAATGAAAGGTTATTTATTAAACAGTGCACCGCTGAGTCAACTCAGTCTGCAAAATACCTCAAACTGCTGAATATTTTAATTAAACTTTCAGAAAGTAAATCACTTGGTTGACATTTAAAACTGATTATGTTTTGGACTCGACCAATAAAAATAAATTAATAAAACAAAAACCATAAAAGATCTAGGAAAAGACAAAAGTGGCTAAAACTCAATCAGATTTACAGACACTGAGCTTGGTAGTAGCTGAGCATCTTCCCTAACATATACTTGAAGCACAACATATTGCATGAAATATTTGCTTAAAACCTTGACATGAACTGTTGGAGACAACCTTGCTTGTCTGTTAGCAAAATATCTAATAATTACAATTGATCAATTTTTGGTAAAGAAGCCAATTCAAGATGGCTGCCACAACTATTGACCTATACAAGAATGGCTTTAACGCTGGTAAGTTTACAGATTCTGAGCTAAAATTTGTTGGGCTAGTAGCTGACAATCATTCACAACACAGTCTAGGTCAATGGTTCCCAATCATTTAAGACTTGTGTACCCCCTGAGCCATTTTTTCATACCACTAGTACCCCTTCAGTTAAACGTGATGATGATTCTCCAAAACTATAATGTACAACTGATTATTAAACGAAAATTATTTATTTAACCCCCTAGAACATTTAATTCTCAGGCATCACTCACATTAAACAAAGATAAAAAATGTTGCCTTGAAAGTGAGTAATTAAATTAATAAACCAGGTAATGGCAGGTGCAGAAAACAGCAGCATCCAAAATACACTGTATTGTCCAAAATGCGTCAAGAACTCACCCAAATGAGCAAATTCCATGAGATTCCACGTTTTATACTGGATTCCATGTTAATTCTGTGATTCTGACTGCAGTTTCCGCATTGTGGAAAGCAGCCCTACATATTTCAGTCCTATTTTTATTTTTTAAACACCTGAGAAATTTTTCCACGTACCTCCTATAATATGGTCACATACCCCTGGTTGTGAATCATTAGTCTAAGTGCTAACAGATCACTTACTGTGAAAAGCATCGTGTTTACCAAAATGGCTTCAGTTTTGACACACCTCTTCCTAAGATGATCTTAGTTTTAAACTCTGTCATAAAAGGCAATAAG